GCAATTTTCAACTTACCGCACTTATATCATAATGTTCTAATATAACGTATCTATCTAAGCATCGTTAAATATGTAGGGATTAAAACAGTGTACGTTTACAAACACCTAAAATAACGTACACTTAACGTAAAGAGAAGAACAAAGGAATCTACTTTGCTGATGCAACATTGAGTTAAAAGTTACCGAGGGTCACATTTAAATAGGACAGGACTTGAACCGGCATCCTCAGCGTTTCGTGCTGTTGCTCTAACTACTTGAGTCACCGAGTCCCTAAAGCTATTGATACATGCACCTCTCGCGCAATATAATTTCAACCTATACTATATAGAGACATCTTGTGAAATAATATTATGTGAAAAATATTGAAGTTTTTGAAAGTTGTGTCCCAAAGAAAGTAAACGGGTGGTCGCTGCGCATGCGCACCGGATGAGAACATTGTCCTTCGCTAGCCTTGGCTCCTTTTATCGCGACGTTGCGATCGATCAGGGCTGTCATGCGGGCGGGCGCATTCTTCGATTTAACACCAAATTCATTGCCAGTTTCAAACATTTGAAATTACTGTAAAGTTTCAGAACATACGCATATGTCTGTAGATGTTTTGTATGTTGAGTATAGAAGAATATTCGCTTATTGAAATGAAATACTCTTACGATTTAAAACGCGATATATACTTGAACATATATATAAATATTTGACAATTATTTTAACTACGGCCCGACGTTTCGGATGCTTTGTTTCGGAGTCTCCCCGTGACCACGGCTGCTGTGTACTATTCAACTCGCGTAAACTACAGACATTAAAATATTTGCTGTTTATTTATTCGTTATTCTTATACATTATTGGGCCAAGGAATACTATGTAACTTAATGAAGCAGGCAAGTAAAAATATTATATAAAACGACTACACATAATCATCACTCATTAGATACAAGAGTTAATCACTTGACAGAATTCTGCGTGATCGTAAAATAGATCTACTGTTGAATTAATACACAAACGAAGTACTAATCAGACAAATTTTTGACGTTTATCAATTTTCTCAAAAATATTGATTGAAAACTTGACTTTTTGAAGTTAGGATGGCAGAACCACGACGAAGACCATATACTAGCGCTGGGGATCCACAATTTGGAGGTCCCTAATCGTTTGGAGAACCTGCTAATAAGCTATTGCAAGGGGTTTTGTTTGGGAGTCAACGTCCGGTTAGTTAAAATAATTTACAAATAAGTTTAACTAATATATATCGCGTTTCAAACCGTTAAAGTGTTTTATTTAAATGTGTACTGCTCCCGTAAACTGCAGACAACTTTGTTCATATTTTTATTTACAAAAAACCCTATTATTCAAAATCGTATGCAACCTAACCAAAAGTGACACCATTAATAAAAATCAACCCCAAAATTCACTTGACCCAAATGTTTGACAATCAAAAATTTCTTTCGACCCATTTCAAAAGATCACATCCTGCAAGTGATGAAAAGGAAAAATTGAGGTCGTCGACCTTTGATCATCGTGTGCAACCGTTTGCGATTGTTTAAGAGGTCTGAATAATGGAGAGATTGAAGAACACACACAATTAAAAATGATTTGTGCGACGAGGGCGAATGACCCTATTTCTTATAGAGATGGCGGGTCTTATCGATAAGTCGCTTTTATTTTATACTAGCTGGTACCCGCGACTTCGTCTACGCAGGATTAGGATTAGGATTACGTAGTATCGCGCATTTAAACTAAATGATGTCTATCATATCATACATTACATAATTATGTGTAACAAACATCGATCCACACATACAAACTCTCACGCTTATAATATTAGTAGGATGCTAGGAAAAAAGAGTTTTACGATTGTGGTATAATAATCCCATCCCAGAAAAAGGCGTAGACACATTCATTTACATGCTTTAACATACGAGAGGTCCATGTATCAGTAGGTTGAAGAACGGTGACTCGGTAGCTCAATTGGTTAAAACAACAAAACGGAACGCTGTGGATGACGGTTCGAGTCCCGCCCGAGTCGTATTTTTTTCCCATTTATAATCATTTTTTACTTTTACGTAAGTAGTAGCCACTGTGCAGGGACTTATATTTTGTCTCTCCTGGATTCGAACTCAAGACAGAGAGTGTGTCTATAGTTTACACGAGTAGTACACATTTAAATAATACTTTTTAACGGTTTAAAACGCGATATATCAGTTAAACTTATTTGAAAATGATTTATAACTTCGGCCCGACGTTTCGGAACTAATATATCACGTTTTAAACCGTTAACGTGTTTTATTTAAACAGAGAGTGTGATTCACCATAAAGCATTCGCGGGTAGTCAATAATGTTTACTATAAAGAGTGCATTTTATACTTTGTTTGTTTACCTGATACATGTATAGGGACGGTTCTTGTTTGTTTAAGTATTTTTAAATACTGTCTATAGTTTACGCGAGTAGTACACATTTAAATAAAACACTTTAAGGTTTAAAACGAATATATTAGTTAAACTTATTTGAAAATGATTTTTAACTTCGGCCCGACGTTTCGGATCTTTGCAGCAGCCATGTCAGGGGAGACTGTCTCTGACTGTGTAAAAAACATATTTAAATAAGTTTAACTAATATATCCGTTTTAAACCTTAAAGTTTTTCATTTAAACGCAATATATTAAAAATTTAAATACGACTGAAGCAGCATGAAAGCATCCAAATCGGCCAATTAAAAATCATTTCCAAATAAGTTTAACTAATATATCGGTTTTATAAAGTTTTATTTATAAGTATTTATTTTTCATATATAGCATATCATAGCATAGGAACAATATAGACAGGCATGGGTTCTCTTGATTTTGGAATACCCCAGCCTATAAATAAGATGATCGACCTATTTCGGTTTTGGATATTCGGAATTCCATAGATTGTAACCGAAACGCAATTAAACTTCACGGCTTTTTCATTTGTGGACTTTAGTTCGAGACCCGGCTGAAATTTCAATATTCCTACCACCCACTTTAAATTGAACAACGGATTTGACTATTGTTTTAATGGGGGGTCCCCAATTAGCTTAGTTGATATTAACAATCGCACGAAGAGCGACGATAGCTAAGAATGTAAATAAAACACTAAATGTTTCAAGCATGCGTGAAGCTGCTAGAGGCAGGGTAGCCTAACTGCAGCTTTATGACTTGAGTTATTTATATTTTTATAGTCTAAATGGTTATCTACATGTGACCGAAAATTGTGAATATTATTCGTACACAAATAATACTACAAATTCATTTTCGTCTGAGTTAATTGCGCATTTTTATTTTCGTCCTTATTGAAAATCATGTTTTTTGTTATTAGGCCACTTTGGCTTTAGCAGCCCCATATATTGTACCACAACTTTTCAGCAGCGAATTCAATTATTTTTAAAACCTACATACAATTATATTTTGTACCTATTCTTGAAATATACTGCGCTAAAAATATCTTCAATATTTATCTTCATTGATATTATGTAACCGGATTCGACTTTTAAGCAAAAACATATCAAGATATGAATGAGTATTTTTCATCGGAATCGGAAAGGTTATCTTCATGTTGCAGTTTAATAAGGGAATCAGATAATGTTATGTACATGCCAATTACTGCAAGGCGCATTAACATGTACAATTTGCCACCAACCGATTCCGATAAAACTTTTATCACGAAAGAAAATCTAGCTTTTACTAAAATGGTGTGACAAATTGTTGTGAAAAGAGCGAGGATAAAATACCATAGAGGTGACCTGATAGAATAACCTCTATCCTAGGAAGCCTGGATAACTGATAGACAGACTCTATTCAGGCGCTCTCGAGGAAAGCACGATCTACACCAATGCAGATAGCAAATAAAAATTGAACACCGGACGGAAAAAATCTTCTATTTAAATAATATTATTAATACTAAACATTATTAAGCTCCGTCCCTAACAATAATACGTTACTGCAGCGGCCGACTAGAGAGGAATTATTGCATAGCACAATTCAGAACTCTAAAACCAATGAGCAAAAAAAAGCTTTACAGTTTGCTATGTCAGTCCGAAATTTAAATGACGCCTTTGATAACTTACCTCTTTGGTCGCCATGTTGCGGAGGGTCGCTCCATTTTTAAAATACATGACAGATGTGATTTTACTAATCTTAAAGAGAGTTGTCAAAATAGTGTTCAAATTTTCAAGCGTGTTAAGAAAAATGTCATAACAATTGACATAGTACCATTTGACTGTAGATCAGTGACATAATCTGTCGCATCTACTGTACATTAGATTTTCTACAGACTTTTTTAAGAATAACAGTTTTTTCTAACTGATAGCAACTTTAGTGTCTGTTAGAGAATGTCGCCAGAGAGTCTATTTATTTATGAATGAAATAAGATAGACAAATGACGTAAAAAGCAAATACTCATTTTATATAAATCGTCAACAGATTAGTTTTTTAAACAGACTCCTAGTTACTAAGCATAGTTGTTAAGAAATATTCCCGCGGTTGTAAAAATTTGGCATTTTGAAGCTTAAACTGAATTTGAACCGAGTACCTCTCATGGTTAAAGCAAAGCCAGTATAAAAGTATTTTTGTGATAGGACGACAGAAAAGCATAGAGTTTTTCAATCAAGTTAATTTATCCATCTCATATCCCCCCTTAATCTATTTTGGCTTTGGACATTCAGAAATCCACGGACTGATACCAAAACGTAAAAACACTATATCTATATCTAGTTGTCTGAAATTTACGCATTTACGAGATATAGGTAGTAGTCAAAGTTATTTCTATTTATTTTAACTACGATCCAACCTTTTGAATGTTTTGCAGTAACCAAAAGCTAGCTAATGTATTTGGTGTTTTAAACCGTTAAATATGTTTAATATAAATATTCCTATCCAATTAATATTCAAGTTTTTCTAACAAAGTCTAACGTGTTTCTGAATATTTAAAATCTTTTTTTTTTACATTTTGGACCAGAATATCCCATTATTTGGATTACCATTGGTTCAATGAGCATCGCACGTAATAAAAAAACGGAAAGCACTCTTCGTGCCAAATGGCCTTTAGCATCGATACTTGATGACGCTCCGCAACATCCCTTCGATGAGTGCGCTCATCCGGGCACTCGTGGGAATGGAATCGCTTCCCTTAAACGAATTATAACATCTAGGGAACTAGTTCTTGGAGCTACGGGTGTCATGGTCAAGATCGTTTGCTACTTGGTAAGTGGACACGTGCAACTTTTAAAAGCATTTTTATATCAGTCATAAAATGATAAGTGTTGGCTGTATTTATCGCAAGGAATACACATTTAACGGCTTTAAGTACGAAAAATATGAGGTAAATATATATTTTTAAGGTAGGCACAGATTTAGGTATATGTGTGGTAAATAAAATACAACTAATGATAGAGAAACATAGTTGAGTTGTAAATAATGTAGTTTAAACCCTTCCTTTTTCTATCTAATCGGTTTAAAAGTAATAATTTTATAAAACAGAAGAAAATTTTGTACTACCCAAGATATTAACGATATTTGTGTAACTTAGTGAAGTATGGTAGACAATACCTTTAACCACTGAGCCATAGATACTCTCATATATATAGATCTCGCATAACATCGAATAAGGTACAAAACCTTTTCTCTCTAAAATTATTTAGCGGTGACTTTGAACTTAGGCACATGAACTGTACCAATCCAGATTGTGACCCTCTCAGTTTTAACATAAGCCTTATTACGTGCTATTAAAATCTAAATTTGCGTGCCTAATGGAATGATACTCATGTGCTGAAGGAATTGACCGTAATTGTTTAATGCATCCGATTTTGGTGACAGTGGCAGGTCAAATAAGCGTACTATGAGGTGCGGTTGTAAAGATACATGTATGAATCGAGTAGATTCATTTTCAAGCAATGAGCCGAAGTCAAGTAAATTAAAATAACATGTACATAGTATAGTCTGTAGTTTACATGGAAGGAGAGTATAAAAAGACAGTTATGAGATTCAAAACTATTTAGGTAATGGATTTCAAGGTGAAACATATATATATATAAAAAAAAAAAAAAAAAAAAAAAAAAATTTTTTTTTTTTTTTTTAACTTTAACTAATAAATTTCGTGTTTTATTTATGTATTTTAAAATATCATGTACTTTCTTTTCAAACTTGGCTGAGGCTCCTAAATTACAAAATAATATTAAAATATGCATAGGTTATGGTTGAAAAACGAAGAAAAAGTACAATAAAGCATAAGCTAATTAAGGAGTTAGTGTAGAGTTTTAAACTAAAAGTTTCGTTTCTCATAAAAAAATATACTTAAGTGACAACTTATTATATAGCTTGCAAAAACGCGAAATATATTTGTCAACTAACTTTTAACTACGATCTGACATTTCGTGTTCTGAATTAGCCGTGGGGGAGTTAAAAGAGTTGTACCTAAATGTTTAACACTCGACTACATGTCTATTTCCAATTTCAGAAGTTTTGAAGTATGTCTTATCCTGCATGAGAAATATACCTTGTGCCTTGTAAACAAATCATTTCAGTTCAATTGTCCCGGTACGAGTTAGGGGACATTGTCCCTATTGTGTCATATGAGGTCCGTGACCTTACCAAATCTATGTACCTTTATAAGCATCGACAGCTACTATTTGTGAACATCCTGGGCTCTTTATTCATATCTTTCGAGATATACTTGTTCGAAACTTTTCTGTTTGCTGTTGATATATATTATATTAAAAGTAGGCCCCTATTTAGCTCCTAGGAGAGGTACCCAATTTAAAGTTTTAAAACCTATTATTTTCTAAGTTTTAAGGTTAGGATTCTAAATATGAAATGTGTCTCGATTGAAAAAAAATACAAGTTCGAGAGTCGAACGCATGACCAGATTAGTTGAGGAATTTATGTAAACTTTTCCTTGTAATAAACGAGAAAGAAAGAGCCTATTTCATATTATTTCCACTATTTACTAGATTTAAATAAAACACTTTAACGGTTAAACGTGTGTTAAACTTTTGAAATTTTTAACTTGGTTCGGTCATTGGGGGGGGGGGCGGGGGGGCGGGAAATAAGTTTAATTAATATATCGCTTTTTAAACTGTTAAAGTGTAATGTTTAACAATGATGATGCTACTCGCGTAAACTATAGACAGTATTCCACCACCGAACATTTTACATACTTTTAAAGATCGGTGGACAGGCACACTTGCTTTCTGTACAGGTAACAAATACCTATTTAATAATATATTTTTTTATGATAGAGGACAGATAAGTCGAGGTTCCCTTGATGGTAGGTAAATACCCCAGATAAATAACATCTAACCAAGTTGAGCTGTCGACCTATTGAGGCTTTGTTATCTGTGGTACGGATATATACGAATCTATTTCAACCTGACAATACCGTATCATACATATAATACTCAATACATATCTATGTAAACTCTGTATAAATACTTTGATTTATGTAAGTTGAAATATTAATAAGTGAGGGCAGGCTGTTTGTAATATTCTCACTTATCTTCCACTTAAAAGCCTTCTAAAATCCACAGATAAGATAAAACCGTTCATTCTTGTTCTAATCTTATATAGTTTACGCGAGTAGTACACATATAAATAAAACACTTTAACGGTTCAAATTCAAATAAGTTTAACAAATATACCGCGTTTTATTTAAATCATTTTATTATGTACCGAATTGGTGCTGGGCCGAAATATAGTATATCCGGGAACTTATGAGGTTCAATGTGCTTATTACGAAACTATTATCTTTCCCAGGACTCAAATCTACATCCTATCAAGAATTCCCTAGAGGATACGTTCAAACATTGAGCTACGGTGATAGTGGCAATAGTACTATGCACCATTAGAATCTAAAGAGATTGGTATTTAAATTTGATAGTATTAAATTTAGGTTTTAAACACACGAGTCTGGTGTATTTTAAAATAAGATTAATTCCTACGCCGACCAGACAAAACACAAATATAGAGGAGGTGTAGTTTATCAATACGGCAATAGAAATAGTCTGTATGTTTGTCTGTACGTTTAATGATGGTATTTAAATGTGAGAGTTGTGTAGAAAGCGTGGCAAAGATAACGATTTCAAAATAGTTTTTAATATTTCATTAATATCTAATATATCTTTAAAAATGAATAAAACTCAACTTCGATAGTATAGGCTGTTTTGCAATGGCCTTCTACTTGGACTTCTAATGGACTAGGACGAATCTTCGATGGCCACTTCTAACGTCCGGTTAGCATTCGAGGCCCCAGGCTCAATACGTTTTAAACATAGAAATAAAAGAAATGGCCACTTCAAGTTAGTCGAAAATAAATTATTTTTGTCTATTCATCAAGTTACACATAATATGGATACATTTTATAATATAGAAATAATTACTTAACTACATCCTTAAAATGTTGTATATGAAGCTGAAAATTGTTGAAAAGATTACAAATTACTTAATTGAATTAAGGTAAATCAGACAAAATACAATACTATAACTGGAAACATAAGCAATAAACGACTAAAATAACTAAAAAAGGCCGACAATCCTTTCCAAAATAATAAAACTGAAATAAGACCTGACTGACATTAGCGTTGTTTAAATGTTTTCACAGAAAAACTTAATTCTTTTTTTTAGGATGAAGTAGTTAGTGCCAAAGGTTACTTTCAAATTCGTATGATAAATATATATTATATTTTCTTAACTAAAGAGAGTGATAAAAGTCTCCTTGGCAGCAAATAACAAAGAGACAATTAATTTTAATAATTGTGTTTTGTAAACACTTATATGACATTAAGGGATAACAGATAATAATTATTTTTACAATTACGTAAGTAAACAATGACCCCGAATGCACATTGAAATCGCAATTAAATAATGTTGCGCAAAATTTTGGCGATAAAACTGCGATAAGCGTTACATAAATATTTGTGACAAGAGCAATTATTGTTATAGAACGAACAAGAACTTCCAAGTTTCTTGTTTGAGTAGTTGAAGCGAGTATTACAGAAATAAAAGACAGTTAACGGTTTATAACGCGAAATATATTGTTAAACTTACTCCCCGTTTACCACGGCTTCTGCAAAACATCAATAGGTAATATCTGGTCAACAATCAAAAATGAGTTCAACCAATACGCTTTGCGTTTTAAACTCTTCTCTTTATATAAAACACTTTTTGAAAGCTTGATGGTTTTAATATTATCTACGGCTAAGATATAACGTAACTTCATAAATAATTGTATCATCTTATGTGGATGCTAGTAGCACTAGTAGCACATATTGCATTCTACGAATTTATGATCAAGTAGTTGTATGACTAACACTTGAAACGAAAGAAAAACGCGACACAATGTCTACAATGTTAACGTGATAAATATGACTAAGACCTTCGCCACTTATATCCTACTTTATTTGTCTTGCATGGACTTGGATATGTTAGACCATAAAATCATTATTTTTACGTCTAAATATTTTATTGAAAAATGACTCGGATTTAAAAGGATTATTATTGTAAAATATTAAAAAACTTGAAAATTCACACAAAGATGCAAGGAGAAACTGCAAAATTTTAAAATTTTGGTGAACAGTGAATGGTATCCTGGAAGAAGAAAAAGGAGTCCAGCGTTTGGATCTCAAAACAGTGGCAGGGCTAAGATGGCAAGGCATAAGCATGGAATCCTTTAGGACAAGCTATTGCAAATAGAATAGAATAGCATGAATACTAAGTAATCTATAATAATGCTATAAAGCTGAAGAGTTGTCTGTTTGTTTGAGAAATTATTTTGCGTTGAATATACTACTTATCTTTTATCTACTTATATTTCTATTTATAGAAAGGTTTCTTTTTAATACCAGTAGGAGCGAAAGAAAAGAGAGCAATATCGAAAATAATTAGAGCATTATTAATCCTGGAGGTAATCTGTTGCGTGCGTTACGAAAACTGTTAAGGAAATTTAAAAAATATGTATGAAATAGTTATTCTTCTTTAAATGATCTTCAAAAATACAACAGTATATACCTGTCGTTTAAGATTAACTCACAAAAACCATATAATGGTAAATTGTGTAAGGTTTAAACAATTTAACGGTTTAAAACGCGATATATTAGTTAAACTTATTTGAAAAATGATTTTTAACATCGGCCCGACGTTTCGGATGCTTTGCAGCAGCCGTGGTCACGGGGAGACAACACAAAAACTAATATATCGCGTTTTAAACCGTTAAAGTGTTTTATTTAAATGTGTACTACTCGCGTAAACTATAGACAGTATTTAAATTGTGTAAGGCTCATCATTTAGCATATCAACATCATAAAAAAAACAATGATATGCATTTATTTAAATGCATATCATTTACCTACCATTTGGTAGGTAAAATTTTTTTTGAAATATTTCATATGGAAAACGAACGTTTGCGCGTACGCTAGTAATGTGTATAGTTTAAGTAAAGCCTCTAGTTATTAGTTAAGAAAAGTAATTGTAATGTAACTACGAAGCAGTAATAAAGGCAAATTTTTGGAGTCTGTGATAAACGATTCGATGAGGTCACAAAAGATTTAATTAACTCGGCGATAAGGTGCCTATCTCGAACAGGAGATAAAAATGCGACCCTTACCGAGAAGTTAATAAAAAAAATAATTAAACGCTCTTATCAAACAAAATGAGTAGGTACATGCACTGGGACAATATCATTGGAATTTGGAGCTTAACCGATGTTTATAGAGTCGATATTCGATTGAAGTTCGATTAGTGAATACATTGATTGAATCTCCTTGTTAGCCCACGCGATTTAGTTCACTATGAACTCGGCACATCTGTGGAGCGCATCAGTTTGTCGCAGACGGCTTAGGAGCGCGCGCGTTCGATTTTTAAATTCAAACGTCGAAAACGAAAATTGGCGATCGGATGCTTTGACGAGATTTTTTTTGTGTGTTGTGTTTGAACATGTTTTTTATCTATGGTTTGATTTGGCAAGGGTGGGTTTTTTTTGACAGGTTATAATTTGTCATTCGCCGAATAGGTATGTAATATGCAAGTGCACAGTTATAATTTTATTAATTAATATTTATAAGTAAGACAATGCAATAATCAATAGTGCATTAACTGTAACACTCTACAGGACAAACAGAGAGCGAATTGAATATATTTTATCTATAATTAAAGAGAAAACACGCATAATATTGGACTATGCAATAATAATATACAGTAATCCCGAAAATATTTTATGAATTGCGTTACAACTATTTTTGAGTCAATGTATATTCAGCGCATTCTCAAAAATTCTAATTATATGTCGCGTCCTTATGTAAAAGAGTGTATTGTATTGGTCTCGTTTTTTGCATCTTTAGTATATATAAAATATTTAATAAACGTAAAATAATTTCTTATTGAAAAATTTAGGACGAAGGTTAAGTTTGTTTTCTTAAAAAATAAGATAACTTTCTAATATAAAAAAATAATACTAAAAAATATTTATATATATCTAATTTTGATAGCAATAAAAAATACCAAGATTTTTTTTTAACTTGAAATCGTGAAAATGGAAGAACGTTTAGATAAATACTACTTTCAAAGCATTAAACATTAAGTCATGCATTTTTCTATTTCCGGGAGCTTTTTTGACAAGCCATTAGTGTCTTGTCGATGACGAGATAACCCTACCTTAGTTTGGAACCACTGGGGTTATTTATTACCCAAATATGTTAGGTACAATATATTCGCAAAATTTGTATTCAGTACAATCATAACACAATACAGTTGCTACCCTTTTGATAGGCCACGGAGGCCATGGGGGCATCGGGGACACCTTAATTAGATTAAGAAAAAAAGATAAAAAGAAAAAACAAAGTAAAAAAGAACAAAGAGAAGACTTAAAGCCAAATTCGTGAACTCAAATTTTGTAGCACCTCGGGATTTAGACTCGGCTCAATGCTGCACGAAGAAAATCGTACAGCGCTGTTTTTCAGTCTACTCCCTGCCGAGGGAGCAGACATAATTTATTCATAAGGGTCGCCTGGAAGAGATCGCTTAATAGCGATAAGGCCGCCCGTGACACTCCATACTTTATAGATATTATTATTACTTTTAGTTCATTGTAATTGTGTGCGTGTGTTAGTGAAAAAAGTATAAATAAATAATAAAATTTCAAATTAAAAACTTTTATTGCCATTATACGATATTTACAACTTATAACTAAATTGCGTGCATAACGAAGTGTATACATAAAAATATAAATAAGAAACAGCAATCGGTGCCAGTCTCGGCCGCGTTGCTGAATGTCCCACTCAGCAGCGCTGGTTTTCAGTCTGGCCCGGGCCCCATAAAAGGAGATGCTCGATGCAAAATTGCAAATCGGAAAATTGCACGAGGCTATCAATCTACATTAACACAAACCAGGCTTAACCAAAGCGCTGCTGTAGCAACAAACGAAGCGGAGCTTAATTCTAAATAATCGACGATGGATTTGTATACGGACTGCCAATCAAACTCGTATATTCTGAATAACACCGCACTGGTGGGTGTGCGGCCTTCTCTGGTGGAACGAACTCGTTATTTTTAACTGTAACACCTGGTTTGCGAATTTAAGAATGAGAAACTGACTAATTGTGATCACCTAGCGAACCTGGACTGTTTAAAACTAATAATAACTATAAAAGTATTTAAATTAAACACTTCAACGGTTTAAAACGCTACATATATCATCTTAATGACGGCCCGACGTTTCGGATGCTTTGCACTTTCGCAGCCATGGTCACGGGGAGACATGGACACGGGGAACGATGATTAATGATTTTCAAATAAGTTTAGCTTATATATATCGCGTTTTAAACGGTTAAAGTGCTTTATTTAAATGTGTACTACTCGCGTAAACTACAGACAGTATTTTACTATTATAAAGTAATTAACTCACCACTAGCGAGATTTCATTCTAAAAATGATTTGTTTGAATCTCAGAAATCAGTTGGATAGGGTATGAAGATATATCTACTTGACCATAAAACAGATATAGAGACGATGATTTTTCGAAGCTTAATTTATAACTATTTATTTTTTTATAAGACTATCAAACGAAGATTAATTTATCTATGAAATTTAGTACGTACAAAGCTGTTGTACAAATTTTAACGGCTGGGCACATTCTTGCTTAGAATTGTGATCTCAGAGCTTGGTTGATTAATTATTTAGAGTAACTTAAAAGTTACACTAAAATTGTTCTATGAACCGGTATATATATCTCTAGTTAGTTGTTACCCCCCTCTCTCCGTAACCACTACTGCTGTTAAGTTACGAAAAATTAATTGAGTGAATATCTAAGCAAACACAACTAAAATAGTTTAATTCTTTGTTTCAGATCTGCGTGACGATGGACCACATCCTTGAAAAATAATACATTTTATTTACATTAAATATTAACATTTTCGATAAGAACTTATTTTTTTATCTTTATATCGCTATATGTAGGTTACTCTTATGAATATTGCTCAGTATGTTTCCTTAATTAATAATATTTGCAAATATTTTGAATCAACGCGTATGTGTGTATGTTTGGATGGTTATAGTGTAAAGAGTGGCGGCTTTTTACTCTATATACCATAGCATGGATGTAAGGATTTGCAATATTAAGACTTAAGGCAACTTATTGTGGTCTGAAAGTTGAATAAAATTCAACCGACGTTATATCGTGCAAGATAATAAGTGTTAAAATCGCTATCGCTCGTGACTTACGCTTCAACTAATCCCATAGCAATACTTATCGTGTATTTACTCGATTATTAATGAGTTATTTAGTATCGTTATAAGTGCAGCGTACTCGGCTCTATCATTAATAGTCATGTTTTGTATTCTCTCGTAAAAAATAGTTCCCTTTTCGACAGATACGCGGCGCCACAATCACTTCAAAGGTCTGAAAGTGATAAATTTCCGCTTCACCGACAAAGTCATCCAGAACGAGGTCGACGAAGCCTTCCTATACATTCACATACAGGAGCTAGAACGGCAGAACATCACAATGACAGATGATCACTTCCACATAACTTACCAGATCAACAGGATCACGAGGAACAGCCAAGGGAATAAGGCGTCGGTGCCGTATTCGGAGGGCGCCGTGAAGTTACCGGGAACAGAACTGCAGACCGGCAAGTGGGTGAGGGCGAACGTGACGAACATGGTGGCGGAATTCTTCAGGCTGCCCCGTGAGACCCTAGCGATAGTCGTGAGAGTACAAGACTCGAAGAATAGGATAAACTTGGTCGTGCCGCATCCGAGTTCGGAATCGAATATCGCAGTGGTGAGTCACCATTGGTTTAGATAAACGATATCAGTGTACAGTTTTTATCGTCTATAAATAAACTTCTATTTATAGCTATCGCAACAATTTCTGATGGTTTTTGTGGTGCTAACGCAGCTCTGATGACGTTATCGTACCGATTTGGGGTCAATTTGTGTCAAGTATCAATGATCGTCGATTGTTTGACCTCATGGTCAGTTATATTTCCCAGATCATTATGTAAATTGTTGACCCATCTTAAGCGATGTTAAGAAGTAACTTTATCATGTACGGGCGTCTTTTAAAAAATCTTTATAAATTTCGAAAACCAACTGTGACACTTTAATTGATTTTGCTCTAACATAGACATGTTGTAAACCCAAAACAGCTTTCTTTTATATTATTAGTATTTACTTTGGTATCCGTTATTCACGTGTTTAATATATATTATAAATAAAGCTAAAGACATTTTATGTGAATAATTCGAAGAAGTACAGAGTCCAGTGTGGGGCATAAAAATAACTTCAGAAATAACCCATAAATTAAACTTAGCTTAAAGGAGTTCGTTTTATTTGTGTAAATACATGTTTCAATAAAATGAAAATCACTTTTCAGCGCACACGCAACTCTAAAATAGCCAACAAACGCGTTTGAATATTGGGTGTCACTGCGCATTACTCTAATCTTACAAATACAAGGAAATAATGCACAGTATGTGCGTAACTGAAAATGATAAAACTTTTTAACAAAAGTTCACTGATAACCTAACATTATCGAATTGTCCAAACTAGGTCATGCATCGAGTTTATCCGAAAGTTTTTAATCTTTATTAACATGTGGAGACAATATGGACATTTAATAATGCTCGGAATTTGGTATTGTTAGTTTGTCGTCTGGATCCAACTACGGTTCATGATTTACGATAAAAATATTGTTTTATTTAACTAACTATACCAAGTCCTGCCCGAGTCGAGAATTTTTTCAATTTATTTTCGATTTTTTAAATAAAACTAGTTCGATAAATTGTTATTACAGTTTCTTATATTATAAAGTTGAAGAGTTAGATGTTTTGTTTGACAACGCTTTGATTGAAAAAATATTTTTGTGTTGGTGGAACCAGTTATCGAGAGAGCTTTAGGTTATTAAACATCAGGTTGCGACCAATAGAAGCGAAGAAATAGAGAGAAATGTGGAAAAACCGGGGAAAACTTTTAAAATTTTTCACGTTTTGTATTTTCGCCGTATTTAAAATTATTTCATCTTTGAGGGTTTCAGTTGCGTGCTTTGCGAAAGCGGATCAAGCTTTTTTTCAAGCAGAAATATCCGTTGAAGTAATTCAATTCCAAAGTAAATTTTTTGTAGTAATTGTGTCTATTATATATTGTACCTATGTTATATTTTTATAACAATAACTCAAAACTTTAACCTTTCAGATGCCTTACATAGAGCTAAGTTTAAGAGACAATTCGCACAAGAGAACGAGACGGATGATCGGCATGGACTGCACCGAGAACTCTAAGGAGGTCCGCTGCTGCAGGTACCCGCTGTCCGTGAACTTCGAAGAGTTCGGCTGGGATTGGATCATCGCGCCCAAGCAGTACGACGCGAACTATTGCAGCGGGGAATGCCCTTACAGCTTTTTGCAGAAGTACCCTCACACGCACCTAGTGCACCTTGCTGCTCCTCAGGGCAGCGGCGGACCGTGCTGCGCGCCGAGGAAGATGAGCAGCATCTCCATGCTGTACTTCGACCACGATTTAAATATAATATACGGGACGCTCCCCGGAATGGTGGTGGAGAGTTGCGGCTGTTCATAGCGACAGCGGTACGGTAGGGCTTAATTTATTGTCGTAGATTTGGTGTGTCGCCGATGTGATGAAATCCGATGAGACTGCGAACTCTTTGTGATGTGTGTTGTGTGTTTTACTTGTAAGTCGGTTTTTTAATGCTCGCACCGCGATGATCGCTCGCAGCGCTCAATCGATTAGCATTAAAAAATTGGCCTCGGCTAGATTTAAATTTTTCAATACTTACTCTTGGTTCACACGAAATAGGCTTAGTGTTTCAAATTGTAAATAGCATTGTGCATCTTCTAGGAAGTGGAAATCTATTTCATTATTTGGATCGTTTTTCTATAGCGATTAGATCATTACAATTTCTAACCGCTTATCTCAAACTGCATTTATAAACCCTTTAACTTTAGGTGGTTAAGTTCAAATATAAGTAGAAAATTAATTTGCAGGCACGAATCATTTCCAGTTCAATAGTTTCTTCGCATTCTCACTTCACTAAAATTTGGCATGATGCCAAGAATGTGACAATTAAAAATGTTTGCATGCCAGGGCTCGAATGCCGATAACGATATTGTTTATTTTACGAATTTACGATATCTAGTTCAGAATTAAAACTATATTTTATAATTGTTAAGGAAGGACCAAAATTGAAACATAAATTTATATTTAAAATCTTTTGTTATTTTCAAATAAAGCGGTAATGTTTTGTAATTTGTTAAACATATTTGTTTCTGTGACGGAGTGAAAGGGAAGCTTTACTATCTCTTTCACACACGTTACAAAGAATGTATTTCGTAGAGAAACAATAAAAGTAAGGTAAAAATAAATTGTTCAATAATTACTAACCGAATGTAGAATCTGAATTTAATTTACTTAACTTAATTTCGGGCCCTGCTGTGATTTTAAACATATTATAAAATTTTTATACCTTCAATGCAGCCTTTGTGAATTTCTGTGCCTGCGCATCTGAGTGCCTTCCTTTAGCGCAATTTTATTGCCGTGTACCTAACATTAACATCAAAATTTATCTTTAAGTAGCCTAGGTAGCGTACGTTATTTCGATGTAATTCTTGACTTGTACTTTTTAGAATCGTTCGGATCTCGTTCAAAATTATTTTCCTTTAGGCTAGCGGGTGGTGCTTAAATGTAATTTTTTTTATAATAAAAATCGTCGTTCTGTACCTACCCTGTGTTGAAACGTATTATATTGTGGTGATGAGTTTTTGTATTAAGTTTTAGAAAATATTTGTCGGGCGCGAAAACTTTCAAAATTGGATCTCATTTTGTGCAAAATGAAAACAATATTGGAAATAGGGTTTAGGGATCTTTTACAATAGACTTGTTCAATTCCGCAGTAATACAATTTTCACTAACCAAACTGTGTTATAAGTTTTTTTTTAATAAAATTTCAATTCATATTATATGTTATCTTATTTTTACAAGCATGTGGTTCAGTTCAGTGATACACTTTTATTTATTCCCCAGCCATGCAACAATTAATTCAGATGCGCCGTCGTCCTATTTTGCTTAGTACGTTATGTTTGTCTTATTATAAATAAAAACATATTTCAATTTCGCGGTTGTCCTCACAGAACAGCCACACTTTATTATATAAACTTTAATTTATTTACACATTCTGTTCGTCCTACTTTACATTAACAGTATTTAAATACAATCAAAACAAAAAAAAAATATATATAACAGAAATACACATGACAATGTACAATTAAGATACGCTCGGGAGAGACTAGTTTACCCAAATACAAAATATAAACCTCCCATGATATTTTTCATATATTTCCCCGCGTTCAGAAAGTATTTCATAAATGTTGGCTACGCTACACTGTATAAATTATCGTTATTAATTTTAATCAGCCGAACATTTATCTAATACTTCAGTCTAAAAATATTGCTTACACGATCCAACATATACAAGAAATTAATTCATACACAGTTTATTGTATCCGTTCCTAAATAAAACAATTCCTTAATTTACATTACAAGTAACAGTTGCATGGCGTTAAAAGAAGTCTACTTTATGTAGATGTTTTTATATTAAAATTCTATTCACTAAATTACCGAAAGTGCATAACATTTAGTGGTGTCAGTCTATAAATAGGTTGGATGGATTCTTTTGAGAAACGATAAGAAGCTGCCGAAACGAACAGACATACAAAATAACATATGGCAGTGATACACCGAATGACGATAAAGACCTAATCTAAAGCATATAAATGAACATCACAGATCTTTATTCCTACTACAAGAGAATGCAGATACAGATAAAAAATGCCACGAATCGAACCGAATGACGACAGTAGAAATAGTAAGGTCACACTGGAGTCACGTCTAGTCTAGGTATGTACAAGTCCCAAAACACCTCGAGATATAAAATTAAAAGTGGTTCGCAACAATCGACGTTGAGCCTTCACATTTAAATAGGATCACAGTGGAAAAAGTGATTAAGTTTACATCTATCGCTATAAAGTCCGCGGTATGGCAAGTATCTACGAGTACTAGCACTTAGGTCAGTGTCTCTAATCTATGCCTACGTTTCATAGAAAAATGATTCGCTATATCTGTACACTTCACTCCGAGTCACTAACACTCAAAAATATAAACGAGATTTGAGGATTCATAGGAAAAATTTAAAAACTGGGCTGCGATACAGTTCTTGGGTTGCCACCCTGGGGGTAGACGTCGTACGAGTTGTGGGGCTCCAGGTGGCACACCACGTTGTTCTCGCCGTTGAGGACCGCCGCCAGCGCCCTCATGTTCTCCGGGGGCTGGTGGTACTGGTGCATCAGTTTGCCGCTCTCGTACGCGTGTCTCGGGTCGTAGGAACGCTCCAATGTATCCCATTTGCCGTACTTCGCGTAATGCTCTTGCTCGTGGTGGTGCCTCTCGCCTGGACTATAAGAGATGAGAGGGCGGTGGTCACCAAAAAACTTGGATCCGGACGATCCGTGATGACCCGGGTTCTGTCTGCAGTCTGGGACAGAATTATCATCAGACATATCTGACATCATTGTTTCGTTTCGTTCGATTTCCTCGTAAACCGGATCGTCTTGGATGACGCGGAACTCCTCGGATCCGCGACGGTATATCCTGCCTTGCTGCGAAGCGATCTCCGAATATGTGTGGTTCACGTTCTGGCTTCCGTGGTGATGGTGGTGCTTGCGTCTATTTTCGTCCTTGTAGTGTTTCCTGAAGATCATTTCTTGGCTGCCAGGTGAGTGCTGAGACATGAAGACGTGTGGATTCCTGAAGTCATGGTTGTAACTTCGGGTCGTTTGGTATCCTTGGGGGTAGTGGAGGGGGGACTCTTCATCCTTAATGGCGTGACGCGGTGAGCCAGGTGGAAGCGGAGCGTCACACTCGACGTAGGGGCTGTGGATATGGTTCTGTTGCAGTTGTCGTGTTAATGTCTCGTGATGAGGTAGCGTTGCCGAGTTGCCCGGGTGGTGTTTAGAAGAAGTGTTCTGAAAACCAAAAGTTACTTATTTATAAAACTACAAAGAAGTTACATCAAAAAGATAAAAAATTGACAATTCGATTGAGTTAAAGAGACAGCTCAACATTAATTAACAATCTTAATCTAAACTTATTGAATGCTAAGTGTAACGTGTTCCACAGAATAGGTTTAAATCATGCTTTCCACTGGTGATAGCTTACGATAAATATAAGTCAAGCAATCCTTACAATGTCGAGCTGTTAAATGACTTATAACTATAGTTATGTTATAGTTTTAGCGAACCTATGTCTGTTGACGGGAGTTCCTTAAAGTTGGTACAATTTTTATATATTCTATATAAAGAAAAATGAATTATTCTAGTTCAAGTTGTGTATAAACAGAAAGAACACCTAAATGTGAAGTTGTCACGACAACCAATAATGATTAATGAATTATCAATGGGCTCTTGAGATGGTAGGGGGTGGGATGGGCTATTTACATGTGCTAAGTGAATTCATGCGGTCACGCTAAATTAGCTCATGCAATACACTCGAGTAAGATCTCGGAATCCCTCCACCGAAAGGTTATCCTGCAAGAAGAGTTTTAAGAAACGAAGATCCATTATGCATCAGTGTCTATATTATTTTCTACCAATACAAACATTATACAAAGAATATAATCGAACTCTACTAATAATATAATTTAACAAGTCGTCATTTTGCGATTGGCTCTAGAGATTCCTCAACTCGAGATCTTACCGAAGCGCGAATTAATCCACTCTAACAGCGCTACGCCCTCCCCTCACCTTCCAAACATTGCCTCCCGCGTTCGCCATTAAAGCCCAGTCGTTCGCGCCAATAGACGCCGCCATCTTGTTCGAATAACAAGATGGCGACCGTGATCGAAGGTTCTGGTAATCGTTGGGAACTTCGATATTATTTCGGTAGCTATGCATCGACGCTATACTTTGAGAGTGTGAAGAACTATGAGGGATGTTTTGAGGCGTCGGTGTCCTAGCGTTTCTTATATCGTCGCTCGGGACGTATATTGGCGCGGTGGGACGTATATTCCATCTTGAATCCGGTTGCAAGTTGTAACTCTGTTTCGTAGTTAGAATTATATAAATAGATACACTTAGTACATACTACTTTATACTATATCTACGTTGTGTCTGAGGTATAAGAATATATTTATGTTTAGTGTAAAGAAAGGTCATACGCAATGTTTTAGAGATAGGATTCGTTCAATGCGAAATTGTTTCAGGCAACATCTAAACCACCACACCACTAGAAGTTAGACCCCGGTTAACGTTAGTAATGGGAAAGCGTTAGTATGTTAGTAACATATAAATAAGAAAATTCTGACTTACCGCATTCTCCGTCTAAAAGTGTTAGTTACTCAGCGGAACACATTGTTAAAAACACATAATTGAGCTGTCTTAGACCATTAGTTACAGCCGTTAAGCTGGAGTGGTGTAAAGGTGGTTCTTTAATAATCCTATCTCTTTGAACAGTGCGTACGAACCTTGCTGGACGTTCTGTCTGTATCCTTGCGGGTATCTGCCGCTACCGGTGTTTATCGGGTTCCGTAGGTGAGACATGGGCGCTGGAGGTTCACGGTCAGGAATGTTATGTGAAAAATTAGACGCTGTCGCGTTAAGTGTGGGACCGAAGTTGTTTGAAGCACCAAAATTTTGGTTGTCTTGGGAGTTTCTACGATTTCTATGGGAGTGATAACTGTGAGCGGCCGCAGCGGCGGCGAGGGACGCGACAGAGGCGTTGTTTATTACATTGTTGTTGTTGTGATTATTGTTGTTGACGACTACGTTAAGATTGTTGATGACAAGGTTATTTGTCGTTGACGCTGATACTGATGTGCTTGCGGAACTCTGTTGCAGAAAGGATTGTGTTTGAGTATTCTTCATTACAATTTACGCTTTTCATTATTAAGTACTTAAATCTAGTTGTATCTTGACGATTGTCCTTTAATGGTAAACAAGACAAAATGAAAGGAAACAATTTTAACAGTTAAACCATTCGTAAGCTGTCGTACGAGGCTTTAAATCAACCGTAGTCATACCATGGCCACAGTAGTTATTAAGTATTAGAGCAGTGGTGGTTATCGTGAGGTCTCTCCGTATTGTGGTTCTGGAGTACAATTGTCTTGTTGCTTTGGTCGAGTGTGGCGGATCGTTAGATTTTTTACAGTATTAAGTGCAAAGTGTGATATTATCCTACATTATATATAAATTTCCAACAACTCTAAGATTATACATTCAATTAATGTATTACTATACAATGAACAGAACCTACGTTGTACCACAAAATAATGAAAACCTAATTTTCAGCAACCATTATTGTTCAAAGGCTGTAATAATAAACCCTATAAAATCTAGGTATTAAAGGTATATAATAAGTATAATTATTTATTTAATTTTTATGTTAAGTATAATTTAAATAATGAAATGAAATAATAATGAAGCATTTTGTTGTTTGCTTCTTAAAAATGTACTGTATAACAGATACAAGTTAAACACATTGAAGATACGTACCGTAACATCTCTAGGGTCCACAACATCTTCACTATCAGGAGCTGTGCTCTGGTGATATCTTCGGCTTTTGACTGAACCCTGCCGTGTATCTACGTGGTTGGAGGAGGAAGCAGTGGGTGCGTTGTGGGCTAACGGCTGTTGCGCGAAGTGGAGACAACATGAGAGCCATGGGTGACGTCGGACAAGACGGGCGCATTCTTTCTGGAACTGGTAGGAAAGGTAGTGTAGAGTAATAGGTTTGTAGAAGTGTTGTAATTATACAAGTAGATAATTATGTAGACCTTAATGAGGCCACAGGCGTTTTGAAGACATTTTTTTAAAGGGTTTTAAATGTAACAAAATATAATAGTAGAAGAGTCCGTCTCCCCGAGACAACAGCTGCTGCAAAGCATCCAAAATGTTGGGCTACATAGTTTACCAATAATATATGTACAAGTTTAAAACCGATAACAGTGTTTTACATAAAAATTAAATACTTTTGTTCAGTATTTTGGTGGGTGTACCACCAAAACGGTCATGCATTTGAATTATTAATCGTATCTAACGTAAAAATTATGATATACTTACGATTTCATTCTGCAAACAGTGGAATACAAATATGAAGAGTCCCTGTAATGAATTGAGTATTGTAAACGCGTAAGCCACGCCTACACTTTGTTCATTAATATATAGAAGACCAAACGTCCATGTTAGGCCAAGAAGGAATGCCAACACCACTGAACTATTCAGCCATACCCTGAAAATAAAAATGTACATAGATATAGATTGTCAGAAGTAGTTGAAGATTTGGTTGGTTGTAGAACACATGCTTTGTTTAATGATACAGGAGGACAGACAAGCGTGTGGTTCATTTGATGAAGGTGACACCTAATCCATATAAACAAGATGTGAAATTAGGTCGACAGTAATTTGGCTTTGAATATTTGGAAATCCACAGAAACTGTAACGCGATTAAGCTGTGAAGCTTTATCTGTGGACGGTGGTTCGTTCACAATAAAATTTACTTCATGAATCCCACGTAGAAATGCACAACCTATTTATTTCCGACTTAAATTTAATGACTTAATTTTATTTGACGGTATTAATAATATTATATTTAATTCTATTGTCTTATAAAACTATAGTTGTTCGCTTAATACTATACATACCGTATTTTATATAATTTGGAATTCTCTTTAGCTTTTATTGACACCGTCGAATGGTGGCACATCATGTAGATGACCATGCTTAGACAAATCCAATTCGCCTGGAAAATAGAAATTCTGATATAAGGCAGTGGAAAGAAAACTATAAGTTATACACCGCAGTCTTATCAAGATGCACTGTCGATTATTTTGACTTTGTATATTTGGAAATCCACAGACTGAAACCAAAACGCACATAAACTTGGCGGTTTCTTTATTTGTGGGGACGGTTCGTGACCTAGACGGAATTTTCTTTTTTTTGTACATGTATACTATACACATATGTCTATATTATACATATAAAGAGTACTTACAAGCAGCACTAAAGCCACAGGTCCAACAAAGCTCACAATAAAATATCGGTCTGTTGACAGCCAGCAATGCGTCGGAGTGCCATAGCCTGGTGGATAAGCGGCTGCCGAGACCAATACAACCAGCGCGGGCGCAAGATATGCGCCTACGCAGTACCAGCGGGCGCGTGCACGTTCCGGTTCAAAAACTTCTACTAACATTGCGTACAGATGGAAACCTAGAAGCGTATATAAAATTTTCGATTATTTTAACTGCAAACGGACGTTTCTGTTCATATTTTACTTGGGGGCGGGGAGGGGGGGGCACCCCGTTAAATTAGTATTTTAGTTAAAGACTAGACCAATTTACAGCTAGACGTGTTTTTGCAAACCTAATCTTGTGTATCTTACTTGAATATATATAAAAAAAATTGCAGCGGTTATTAAGTAAAAACTATTAAAAAAATGTATATTTTGAGGGTCATCATTAGGTTGAAACAATATTAAAAACATTGGTAGCAATTTTTTCTCTGCTTCTTTTACCTTCTAGGAACATCCAAGCAAAAGCAGCAAGGAAGAAGTAGTGCAAGAGACCGGCAATAACACCGCAAAGAATCCTGTCCTGAGTCTGGTCTATTCCACACATGAACACCACTTCAGCGATAAGTAGACAGATGCACAGGTTCTTGTGGATTAATACGCGATCCGACTGTTAAAAAGAAATAGAATTATAATACATAAATATATTTCCCCTTTCCCTACAATATTCTTCTCATAGACTGTATTTTTCTTGTTTAAAATTCTTTTTATATTTCAGTTCTTTACAGGTTATATTTAGTTACTTTAAAATAAGTTAATTAAGATTTTCTTTATGATAGACAAGGGCAGACTTGATGGTAAGTGAAATATCCAAACCAGATAACAAGATACGCTGTCGCCCTATTTTGGTTTTGTATACAGGCGGTCCTCGACTTACGTCGTTTCGATTTAAGTCGTTTCAAGTTACGTCGAACAATGTTTTGACACTATTCCTCAAGCATACGTCATTTGTTTCGATTTCCGGCATATCGGAGAATTCACTTGTCGCAAGGTCATTCTTTTGGAAAAGTTATAATATCTTGCAATGCGTAAAAAATATTGCTACTTCATGGGATGAGGTGACACCCAACAATTTAAAAGGAGTTTGGAAAAAGTTGTGCCCATTTTTTTTTTGAGCCATCTGAAAGTTCTACATCTACAGATCAACCAAATGTCGATGAGATCACAACGTACATTGTTCATTTGGCTAACCGTTTGCTTGACATTGCAGTTACTACTGATGATATTGATGATCTGTTAAGCTCACATTCGCAAGAACTGACTGATGAAGATCTTATTGAATTGGAGGCACAAGTACAAAAGGAAGCACTCGAGTCACAAGAAACAGCTTCTTCTATTAGTGACTCTGAAAAAGAACTTACACTAAAAAAACTTTCCATAGCCTTTGCGAATTTGAAGAATGCCATGAAAATTTTTGAAGAAAATGATCCTAATTTTGAGAGAAGTTTTAACGTTAATAACAAAATTTGTGCAGCCTATCACTGTTACCAAGATCTGTATGATAGCAAGAAGAAAGAAGCCAAGCAATCTAGAATTGATAGTTTCTTTAAGCCAAAAGTTTAATTTATTATTTATCATTACATATGTGTAAGTTTCATAAGTGCATAATATATAATTATTTTAAGAACTTACTTTTAATAATAAAATACGTCCTTTGTTATAAATGCAGTTTTTTTTTATTATTTCGAGTCCGTGTGGAACCTAACCTTTGAGTTTTACATGTAAACATATGAAAAAATATGTCTCGACTTACGTCGTTTCGATTTACGTCGCGTATTTCGAGAACCTAACATGCCGTAAGTACGAGGACTGCCTGTATTTGGAAATCCATAAAATAACTGGAACGCGATTTCTCTTCACAATTTCTTCATCTGTAAATGGTGGTACTAGACTTGTACAGAATTCCGATATTCCTACCACCCATTTAATTTAAGAATAAATATAAATTGATTAGAAACATGTTGGTCCTCATGGGGATCGAACCCACGATCTATTGTTTATTAGATAAACATTGCTACCATTAGAACAACAAACTTGTCAGTCAAAAGTTCTCTTTGAGGTACTTTAGCAAAGAGACAACGAAAAGTTTCGTCAAAAATACCTTCATATTCCTAAAACACTGGAAAACCAAAATGGCCGCCAGCAACGCCACAGATGATATCGCGCAGCCAATCAGCGTCAAGAGCCGCAACGCCATCACGTGTTTAGCACCAAGAGAAACTCCGTGTACGTCCATGAGAATCGCGAAATTGGTAAGATGTGAGCAAGCGCACCCCGTGTGTGTTAGATTTGACCATTCCACTTCACAACCTTCGGGAGACCAGCCGCTATAAAAAAAAAACACATGAACCCAATGTTTCGCGAACACATTCTACGTCCGTTTCACTGACCGGTTCGTTTATTGTTAAAGTTGATCAGACTTAACTGTTCGACCGAAACAATCAATCGTTAACCTAGGATTAGAACTTAGGTTATCTCGCGCAAGCAACACTTTTAACCATGTAGCTACAGAGGCGGCCACATACAGTAGATAAAACAACCAACCAAAAGGCGTTTTGTTTTAGTTACCGCTCTTTAATATAATCTGTATTTAAATTAAACACTTTAACAGTATAAAGCGCGATATATATTAAGTAGTTAAACTTATTACAAAATTATTTTCAACATCAGCCCGACGTTTCGGATACTTTGCAGCAGCTCTGATCACGGGGAGACGAAAGATGGAAAATATCTCTGACGACAAAGTAAAAATTGCTACGCGTTCAGTTGGCGCTAGTGTAGCAACTTGGCAAAACTGGCCGGGTCCTTGCAGAACGAGTGAGTGAATGTACTTACTGTAATGTATAATCCCAGAAGACACAAGCCGGGTTAGTCACGTTCTCCGTCTTCAAGTGTTTCATTGTCAACCGGACCATTTGCGAGAGCTGTATGTGACGTCCGTTGCCTAAACTGGCAGATATCACCTGGAAATTAAAATAAAACTGCACTTTAAATTGCATTTCAGATTATATATACATATTTAATAGAATGAAGGGAATTACTGAAGTCTAGTATATTTTTTATTTGTTTTAGATTGGTAGATCAAGTTATGTTTGTCGTAGGTTCAAGACCACAGGTTGGCAAAAGTTTTCTGGTACTTTTTTTACCACTTCAGGTCGTACGTATAAGGAATTGATGATTGACAAGTGGTAGCAATGCATGGCTAGTAAGGAAGGGATCGTGGGTTCGGATTCAATCTGTAGATTTACGAAAATTAAAAGCCAAAATAGGTGTTATGGTTAAATGTTATATGGGGAATCTCTAACATCACGTAAATGCCATGCTTGTCTTTATATCTAAAAAAATCTTAAAGCTTCTCACGGAACTTACTTTGGAATTAAGAACTCTAGTTATGTTTTTCTTCTCCTTTTCCGAGTTGATACTGACAGATGAAGAGGGGTCGGAAGTGTAGGCTGCGAATTGTGGTGTTTTCCCGAAGGTCGGTGGAAGAATTTCTTCCAAACGGTCAAACGCAAAGAACACTATCCTCACGAGGTCGACTTGGTGGTTTTCTGTGAAAATGTCTTATTGAGGAAAACAATTTATACAAATTCTTTCTTTCTTTAAATATAATGAAAGAATTGAATAATAAAAGGAAGAAGAAGAACTTTATTTAGTACACTAAATAAATATCTCATTTATAAAAAATGTATTAAGTTTTAAATAACCAATTGATATTTGGACAGGGATAGAAGCATTTTTATTACGTTTGTAAATAACAATATGTCAAAGATACGAGTATATAGGGCTGTTAGAGGCAGAGTGCTTAACTGCAATTTAATAACTTGAGTTATTCATATTTTTATAGTTTTAAATTGCTAATCTACAAGAGAACAGTGACCGAAAATTTTTAACATAATTTTTATACAAAAAATAGTACAACTTCATTTTCGCCGAAGTAACGCATGTGTTTTTGTTTTTAGGCCACTCTGCCTCTAGCAGCCTCATCCAATTTATATCAATTTGTATGAGTAAATTACCTAATAAAGCACCCTTCGGAATTGTGATAGTGTCTTCTGAAGCCTTCCATTGCTCTTGCGCAATAATAGATGGAAACGTCTCGTCCTCCACGTTCTTTACTTCCAGCACGCGGACTGATAAACCTGTAAGTGGATTTATTAAAGAGATGTTTTTAGGATATCTATTGTCCTAACATCCGAACAAGAGGTGGAGCTAAGTCGCATGTGAGAGTGACGTGACGCGGCTTGAGATCGTCTCTGTTGGCTCGAAGTGACGCTGGTGGAATACTTCTTTTCGGTTTTTTATTCTAGACGGTTTATTTTAGTTAGACTATTTCGTAAGCATATAATTACTTTAATCTTCTCTTTTACTATATAAGAATAAATTATACGCCTCTCTTTTCTTCTCGCTATCTCTTTTAATGCTGTATCTCAAGCTTAACAAAAGTACATTTCTTTTAACATACGTTACGTCATTATAAAAACTATTGTAATTTAATTAAAATATTGAGTTTGTCGTAGCATTACGTTTAATTTACACTGCTACATTAGACTTGTGTCTGTAGCAGCACACGACACGTGCGTCTGTTCTTTCTTCGTTTGTAATCTGTGGTTTAATAATATAGCTTTGGATATTGTTATTAAATTAAGCTGTAGTAAACCTGAATAAATATATAAAAAAAGGACTTACAGATATTCTTAACAATCTGTAATATCGTTTTCTCCTTCGTAACCGCGTCAGCCAATAGAAAGGCGTTCTCTTCAAGTTGCGTAAGCAATGCGCTTGCGACTCTGTTCTGCGCGTCCATACTTAGATCAGACCATGACGCACGTTGGCTTTCTTCTAGAAGATTCGAACCTGAAATCATGTTAATGGTTAAGTTTAGTCAGTTACGATTGTTGAAGACTAAAATAACACCATTGGGTAGAATTTAACATTTCAAATTTATTAATATTTTAATGCTTCCTCAAATAATAAAAGGATTTAATTTCCTAACATTTCAAAGAAATTTTATTATTTTAAGGCGAGGATGATTAGCCATACATTTCTACCATTAGACGAAAAAGCTCATAAAAATTTGACTTTACATACCAGTCTTAATAACACCCAACAGCATATCCGTGACCAGAGCTTCCTTTTGTCTCGCATCGGGAAATGTTTGGACATTTTGGGACATTCGTTGGGCGAGTTTCTTCATTATACTCGTTGTGGTCATCATATCCCCTCCGTATAGGGTTTTTGATGACGTCACCTAAAAAGTGTTAAATTAAAATTGTAACCGTTCAAAACGCGAAGTTTATTAGTAAAATATTTAAATTCACATGCAATTTCTAATCTATTAGCTTAAAACTTATATTTTAAATATATCTGTGAATAAGTTTAACTAAATAATTAAATAAAATAAAATATACTTTATTCTCTGTAAAATTATAAAAATTATTTAGATTTGTCAGAAAATGTTAAATAATATGTTTGTCTGTCCGTTAGTCGTGATTCTACAGAGTGTTCAAAAGATCAACATACCCGAGAAGAACACCCAAGAAACTCAGTCTGGCTTTTTTCAACATGTCTTACAAACTAATACATTTTTGTTAATTTAATGATCTAAGGAGCAATTCATGTCACTGCCAGAGAGCCCTGTCATTAAAGAAGTCTTATAAACGCAATGTATTATACATAAAAATACATGTTGCGTTTTAAACCGTTAAAAATGTTTTATTTAATTATGTACTAATCGCGTAAACTACAGACAGTACTTAAGTATTGAATTAACTAAATTATTAAGGTTTTTAAAACTATTCAAATATCTTGAAGGAAAAAATTGTTAAAAATATTTTTTTTTTTAAATTGAATTTCTTACCTGGGCCAAATCATTGCTGATGCTGAGAAGGGATTCCCCTTCGCGTACTCTTGCTTCTAAGCTGTTCAACCAGACTGATCTGCATTCACTTAAATCCGGAGTACTTCCATGCCATTCGGGTATTGTTTCCGCTGAAAAAACAAGTTCTTGTTAAAAATTTAACGGATGTACAAGAGAGTCAAATGATCACTCTTCTACAATATCCGGGCCAGTCTAAAACCAGCGGTGCTGAGTGTGACAAGCATTCAGCAGCACAGCTGTGACTGAGTACCCATTGCCGTTTCTTATGTATTTATTATTAATGGATTTATGGTTTACGCAATTAAGAGCTTATAAGCTTACTGTACGCATTTTAAAACTGCAATAAAAAGTTTTGAATGTAAATTTGAAATTCTTCATTGATTTATTTTGCAGCTAATGTCCATAAGATTATTAGTTTCTCAAGGATAGTGGTAACACTTAAATAAATCGCTTTTAACGGTTTCAAACACATGTGGTATCTTGTGACTAGGCTGCTACAAATCATTCGAAACGTCGGACCTTAGTTGAAATAATTTGTTAATAAGTTAACGAATATATTTCCCGTTTTAAACCGTTAAGTGTTTTATTTGTACTAGTGGCATAAACTACAGACTTAGGTAACTTACAGTAAACATATTCAACGTTGGTAACTGAAATATCCCGGGATATGTCCGCTGTGTTTCCACTTCCTCGGTAGTCGATTAGATGTTCAGGAGAATCGCCATCGCGACCTATCATATAAGAAATATTTTATCGATACTGTCATTAAATGTGTACTGTGTCGGTAAGGCTGTCGGGTCACCAGGAATTATGAGGTCTGTAAACTCAACTACAGCAAAATACTGGGTTTAAATCTCTAGCTTGGTTTTACCTCTCTTTACATAGGTAGAAAGACCTACTGGGACATCAATAGGTGTTAAACGTATGCTAGTAAATTGTCAAACTCAACTGTCAAATTTTTTTCGCACCTCATTTAAAAAATTGTATTGCTTATTTTATTTTTTTTACTTTAGATAGACAGTGGAAATAGAAGTTTTTTTTTAATATTTTACGTTTTTAAATATAGTTCTGATAAAAGTAGTTATAAAAATAAATTTGTCATCACATTTTACGTATACTAGATTATTTAATTCAATATTACCTTTGAGCAATGCTTCTGAACCCAATCTCCTGATCAGCTGCAATTGTCTCTCACTGGGTTGTTCTAGTCCAAGATCATGATAATTTTCACCAGATTGCAACCCTGAACTTCGACGCCGCGGTCGCTCTTCTTCGATATGTTGGTGAGAAGTTAAGGTACATCTAGAAAATAGAGAGTCATATTATGTTTTTATAAAATATAAAATACAGGTAAAGTAAAGCTTGTAAAACAATGCTTTAAATGAAATAAGAATATCATTTCCAACATGTTTATCAAATTATTTTATTTTATTTTTAAACAAGGGTTGTCTGAAAGAGATCGATCACTAGCGACAAGGCCGCCCATTGCACCCCAAAACTTGTCTTAATTATTTTTCTCTAACTGTTGTATTATGAAGACTATTTTTTTATATTTGTGTGTATTGCAATAATCAGTTAAATAAATACCTTCCATATTATGTGTTTTATTGACTGTTGCAAAGCTAATATCTTAATCATTATATATTGGGTTTGTCTAGTTACTCACTTCCATCTAGCCAATCCGGTAGCGCCTCCAGGACACGGCTGGACTGCATATGTGCCAGCCAATGTCCAATTCCAATGAAGACCACGAGCATTCACTTGAGGGCAGTACGCGCGCCGTCCCAGCGCTGGGGTTGCACTTGTTGCTGTAAAAAATAGCAAGCAATATTATAATTAAAACATATTTAATTAGACTTTTAGTCACGAAAGGACTTAAAAATAACAAAGAAAAAGTAAAATCTTATTTGGCACAATCTGCACAGAGCCTGTTGGAGTTTATATATATCGATATTGGCTGGCAACACTTGAATTAGGTTTTTAAAATGTTCTATTCTATGTTTAAACAAAAAGAAAAGAAAGGTTGAAGTGGGTGTTTGTAATAAATAAATATATATCCCTGCACCTCCTCATCCTCGCCGGAGTCCAAGCTTCCACGAGGAACTATAATACTATTCCAACAGAGCCAAAATCACAATAGCTTGACAGCACATCCTATTTCAAAATTATGTGGCCAGTGTTTTTCACCTTCCTTCTTATGTCATAAAACACAATACAAACAGATAGCGACATGTCACAAATCATAGAATTGTCTTATTTTGTCGTTGTTGCGAAAAGTTTGAATTGTAAGAAGTTAACTCTATAATGCTTTGTATCTCCGCTGTGTTTATTTATTAGTGTCGTACTTACAGAAAACTTTATCATAATCGTCTTCGATGTCCGGGTGGTTTTCCTTTGGTGGGTTATGAAGTGATGGTGTTGCGTCAGAATCTTCATCTTTCGGTACCCATTGTAATGTTTCATCTGTGACGGCCACTGACCAATTTTATATTAGATTAATAAGGTCCTATGTGTTAAGACAACATTATGTTCTTTTATTTTAGGTTATACAATATTTCTTTATTGTTCATTAATTTTTATTATATATTATAGATATAAACCGTTTATATCTCACTTACTCAAACATTTAACTCATACTCTAGAATTGGTACTATACACCGATACACGGAATGCATTTACAACATCAGATTCTTTACCTGGTTCATCATCTTTCTCCTTCGGTTTATCAATGCTTGTATCGTCGTTAACTTTTGTTACTTCCTCCTTTATTACAGGCACCTTATCTAGTGGGACCTGAGGCTGTTCTTTCTCCACAGTCGAATCTGGTTGCCTAGTAGTTGTTTTCTGCAGAAAATACAACCTTCAATGTAACCCGTAACATATTAGTTAATCTAAATTTAATTTATTTTAACTATGCCGTGGTCTCGGAGAGACTGTTGATATATTACACGTTTTAAAGCGTTAAAAGTGTTTTATTTAACAATTATACTTTTGAAACATTTTACTTCCTACAGTAGTAGGTAGAGAGAGTAGTAGAGGTACAAGGAACCTTTAGTATGTAACTACTATTGATCTTTGAAACAGACTCTGAAATGTGTCTACGATATGCTATGTTAAAATGAAAAGATTTAAATCATTCTAAATACGTTGTTAGTTAGTTACTTTAGCAACATATGCAACAAAGTACTTGCGTTATTTATCTTTACCTTTGTGCCAATATTCCCTAATTGGACTTCTGGTGGCAATGTTATATGAGGTCTAAAGGTTGGCGGTGTGATAACAGTGGGCTTCTTTTTCTCCTGCTGAGGCTGTACCGGGTTCTTCATTATGGGAGCAGATGTGGACCTCCAGACCGTTGGCTGTGATGTGATTAACCATGGTGGTGACGGTCGACTTGTGGTGCTTGTTGTCGACGCTGAAGAATAGAGGTTTTGTTAACGTTAGAGAAGTTAGGTTAACGTTTTTATGAGGATTCTTTTCAGATGATAACTAAGACGAAATTTAATTTATACTGATATTATAAAGTCAAAGAGTTTGTTTCTGTGAACAAACTAATTCTCAGAAACTACTGGTTCGAATTGATTTTTTGTCTAGGATGGAGCAGTCCTCGATAGATTCGTAAAGCTATAAAACATCATACAATAGGAGTTAAGATAGTTAAAAAAAAAAGCAGCGATAAATGTAAAAAAAAACCGGGAAATATCATCTTTATGGATTAGTTTTTAAGGTTGAGATTACAAAACACACACATCGGCATATGGCCACATATTTACCTGGTACACATTGATAGTGAGCTTCTAGATATTTCAAAGTGTTCGGACATGGATCACCAAACATATTCGTGCTTGCCAGAATGCTGCAATTCTGCTGCATGCTGCACCTGGAAATAGTAAGAAAAATATAAGTAATTTTATTATTAATCAATGTCAAGACGATCTCGCTGGCGAACGAAAACCCAAAATAGAATTACAAAATAATCGCGTAAGCAAAATAATCTTGTGTAAACGACGTACGGAATATATCAGTTAAATTATTTGTAATTTAACTACGGCTCGATATTTTCGATGCTTTGCAGCAGTTTGCAGCTAGATTATCTAAGTATAACTCATTTAAATTCTTTTTTTTTCTTGTTTTAAGTTAACAAAAGCAAAGGGGCGCGGATTTAAATAAAAATTAAACGGTTTAAAACGGGTATATAGTTATATCGCGTTTTTGACAAAGTGTTTAATGAAAAGTCAAAATATGTTGTCAACGAACGGTAAAAACGGGCATAAGTGAGACGCGGCGACGCTTTTAACACTAAGTGTCGCGTACTAAGTCTTGATTGTAGTCACAACAAAGCCACGTACAAACTGATCCCGATAAGCGATATCATAACGTGAATTAACGTAAAATATAATTATTTACACAGCGCAACCACAATGCCGTAATCCCAACAGCTTTACCTATTTTATCTAACATTTCAATTTTGTTCCGCGTATTTGTTATCCGATTTTATCTGTATCGAAATTCCAAATGTTAGGAAACAATTGAACCATACAATTAGCGGTATCAATATGTGTGTAATACATAATGAATACCGCAAAATATTGTAATACTTTGCAGACAATATCGGATTAAAAACAAAATATAAGCTTGTTCGAGGGTACTTTTGAAAATCTTAAAGACTCGCGCGGCGACAAAATACTTAAGCGAAAGCGAAGTTGGTATCTGGCTTTATAAATCTACCGATGGAGTTAAAACGGTTTAATATTTCACGGATTTTTCTACGGTCGGTGGTTCTTGACCCGTCAGAATTCTGACAGTTTTATGACTTATAACAGTACTCAATAAAATTCAAAATACTTTAGTCATAAAAAATCTAAACTGGATATTCTCTCGATCCATTTCGGCTCTAGACAACCTTTAATCCAGTGAATGAAGGCAAAACGGGGTTTCACTGTTTTTTCATCTCAGGTTGTATCTTTGGTTTTGTGATTCCATATCCTTAACATTTAAAATAAACCAATATTCCACTACAACATTTTAGAAACGTTTGGACCTGGAAGGAATTGAACTCGTCGATAATCGCTACTATTTCACGAAGAACTTTATCACTTAATTATTTCTTATTAATTACATATTTACTGGCAAATAATAATAAATATTATTTTAACGAACTCGTCGGTGTAATGTAAGCCTGACAAGCAACGGTTCGTGGGTTCGAACCTCATCTGGGCCAACAAACAATTTATAATTTTTCTGAAACATTTAAAACGTCGTGTGGCAATCTGGATATTAAATGAGTGATAGGAATATTAATTTTTATCCCGGTAACAAAGCAGCGTCCACAGATGAAAAAGCCGTGAAGTTTAATCGCGTCACAGTTTCAGTCTGTGGATTTCCAACGTCTAAATCCAAAATATGTCGACATCGCCTCTTGTTCAGATCTTCAAGTGGACCCCATGGGTCTGCGTTCTCTATCATAAATTACCTGCTATGTAGAACTCGTAAACTCCTCGTGGACATGCAGTTGACGCTCCAGTCAGTGTTGCCATGGTCGTTGCAGATCGTTATAGAGAACCGACCGTAGTTAGCTCTTATTAGATGTATTACAGAACCTTCCCCGCAGCCTATCTTTAACGTCTTCCCTTCGCACGCGTACGCAGTTTCGTATCTTGGTTCTGTAAAAAAAAAAAAAAGTATAGGTATAGCTAATCATATTTTAATTTTAGTTATGTGAAATGGGCACGTGACAAAATACAACTAAATATCCGTACATTAAAAATTATAGAATCTTTCTTAATCTAACCGCGCTTAGTTGTGAAAACATTTTGCTTGTCACACATGTTTTGGTCATAAAAATTAAATAATAGATTCCCCTTTTTTAACCGTTAAATATTCAAGGTTTTCAGATTGTAGCATTGCAGTGCATACCAGACATGTATTTACTTAAAAATAAGTAGAAAATGGAGGGCTTTGTTAGTTTGGTAATTAGCTATAATTCATTCAGTCATATATACCATATTAGTTGATTTGGCAAACTTTCGTTTGCTATATGAAGTGTTGCGAGTTTTTTAAGAATAAATAATGCAGAATATTCCTTTACACATATGTTTTAGGTATCTCGAACCGTTTTTACAGCGCGCGAAGCACAAGTCTCCTCATATGCATAATTTTCCCCGTTATTCCACAATTCCCTCTTTTACGTATCAACCTAACGCCAAAAGCCTCCTTCGATAAATGGTTTAACAAATTTATAATAATTGGTATAAATATATGTCCAATGTTTAGGAATGTAGATCTTAAGTACCAGAAACTAAGTATGAATAGTAATATAAGAATAGCTTTGTTATTACTAGTTGCAATCTAACCGCTAAATATAATCAATTAATCTAAAAGCAATAATAGCCAGCCGAACAGAAAACAATTGGGCCAATATCTCAAGAACGAAGCGAACTATTTTCATAGGCAGGTAATTAGTTGTCAAAGATATATCGTATCGGCGGGCCTTTCAATTGGCGGCCGCAGACCGAAAAACAACTAGCGACCGCAAATAAATCCAATTAAACCAATCCGATATTGTTGCCGCATCGTTAGACCTAGGAGTTATGGCACAGTAATAAATGGTGTGCAGGTTTTCGAATTTTCGATATTTTTCGACGGTGATTCAATAAAATGATTATGACGCACACATGTAAATAAAGTTATTAGCTGACCTGGCAAAGTTCGTTTTGCCATATTGTTATGGTTTCGACCAAATTTAATTACTATAGAAACGGTCCTTGTAAGTTAATCGTAAAGATAGACACATCTAAAAATACTGTCTGTAGTTAACGCGAGTAGTACATATTTAAATAAAACGCTGTAACGGTTTAAAACGCGATATATATTAGTGAAACGAAGCCGTAGTTAAAATAATTTACAAATAAGTTTCACTAATATATATCGCGTTTTAAACCGTTAAAGTGTTTTATTTATACGACTATAATGTTTTTCTAAATTATTTAAACAAGAATAATTCTAGTAAATTGTGTAAGGCTTTCACGGCCATCGTTCAGCATATCATTGTCTTTCGGGCTGTTCGGCCGACGTGAGCGAGAAGAGGTTCTCGACGTTTCGCCGTTACGTGTGGACGGCATCATCAGATGTTAACTCCTCGATTGCTCGATGAATTAATTAACTCTTCGAGCAATCAAGGAGTTAACATCTCCTGATGTCGGCCGAACAGCCCGAAAGACAATGATATGAAGAATAATTCTTTCATAAACTCTTAAGGCTTCGTAAACCGTTCAAAGAAAATGTTTAGCTTTATAATATTAGTATAGATAACACTAGGTATGTATCTAGTATTCTCTACCATTAGAATGTAGGTTGTAATAATAGACCCACCTTGCTACACACTGTAGGTGTTGTAGGGCTTTAGACTACCATAAGAATCAGTAGATGAGACATCGTACCAATCAACCTCTAGTAGATCATTACGATACGCTATTAAATATAATATGAGTAAATATACGTTGTGAGTTACATAAAGATATTTCATTTAATACAAGTAAGAGACCAGTTTTTACGTGAACACATGTAAAACTTACTTAACGGTTTAAAACGCGAAATTTATAATTAGCCAACTATGTATTTGTTTCGTATGATTTATGTAATATGGTTTAAAGCAAGAAATGTATATGCAATTTGTACGTATAGCGTTTTACATCTTAAAAAGTAAATACTGTCTGTAGTTTACGCGAGTAGTGCACGTGTAAATAAAACACTTTAACTGGGTAAAACGCGAAATATTTCAGTTAACTTATTTAAAATTTATTTTAACGTGGAGACTGTCCCTCTGTGACCACGACTGCTGCAAAGCGTCCGAAACGTCAATGCGTATTTAAAATAATGTAAATACGTGCAAATATATTTCGCGTTCTAAACCGTTAAGTATTTTATTTAATCCCTTAAAAGTGTTTTATTAGATGTAATATCAACTGCATTACTTCAAGCTTAGAAAATTCAAAGCACCATTTACATAGCCGTGGATACAATTTAGGAAAATTGATTCTGATCGTTCGATATTGCAAAGTATGACCAATGCACGGTCAGCTATAAAATATGGCGAAGAAAATGCAAGCCCGATATTACTGAATAATAAATCTGGCTAAATTAATGACGCAGTGGTATAGACGTACGGCTTAGCAAATTTTCGCCTCGTCACACTACGGAATGAGGGCGAACAATGTCTAATGTACTCTATCTTAGGGTTGGGTTACTGTTATCGATAGTTTTTTATTATCGTTATATTATATTAAGAGCAGACGAAACTGTGTGTTTCTGTTCCAAGAAGTGGAGGTGTGATATTGGTAATAATGCCTCGTGGCATTGTTTTTTTATAGAACTATATTTCAATAGATAAGGTGCTTACCTATTTATGTAATTCAAGTAGCTAGGTATAAACTTTTTTTTTTTCTGTAATTGTAATTATTTTTTTATGTTGTACACATATAAACAAAACCAACTTTTAACGGTTGAAAACAAGAAATAACCCCCGCGGGGGGGGGGGGGGGAAGGGGGGGGGCCCCCCCCTGGAAAAAAAAAAAAAACCAAATAGAGCAGTTTAAATTCGACATACCAATGTATTAGTTCAACTTATTTGGACATTATTTTAAATAAGGCCCGACGTTTCGGATGCTTTGCAGCAGTCGTGGTCAAAAGCAGAAATAAATGTAACTAATATTTTTCGCGTTGTAAACCGTTATATCGTCTTATTTCAAAGTGTACTATTCTCGTAAACTACAGACAGTATTTAATACCTCATTGTAATATTAAATTCCGAAAATGTTTCTTGATAATAATATTTTTTCAATTATAAATAAAAACAGTACGATTATATTTAGTTACACACACATAAAAACACGAAATCAAACACAGAAACGTATCGTTAGTGATGAGAAAGCAATGAATAATATATCGACAATTATAAGCGACAGATGTTCACTTCGATACAAATCCAATACACGATATTAATTGCTATAATTACGGTGGATCGCGTCTGTTCTCTGTCCACAAATAAATAATATTGTCTGCGTCGACACATGTCATCGTTGTATTATTAAATACATTTCGTGTATATGGACAATTATATAGTTTTGATATTGACAGTTGTATTGAATATTCGATTTTAGAGACACGTTTATGTTTAATAATTCTTGTGAAATATCATTTTTATTTTAAATTACAAGTGACTAGGTGGTCTGTCTTTGTTTTTTATAGTTCGCTTTGGCGGCCATTTTGGAAAGGTGCAGATGAGGTGATGATGAAGTGATGATGAAGTGAGAGATGAGGTGAGAAGGAAGTGTTCAGATGTCGTAGTCGTCAGTATTTTACCATCACGAGTGGATGTTTATATCAGAAGACGTTGACAGTTCTTTGTTTGTTTGTTCTGCTACTTCAATGGAGAGTTTAATTTAAAACAATGTGGTAATTTTTATGGCACGCAAAAAAATATACTAAAAATTTCCTTATTTTTCTTTTCTTCATTTAATATCTTCAAAATTTTAAATATACAATGTCAGTTGTGACATAAATATTTTTATTAAAATACTTCCAACTGTTTAAAACGCGAAATGTCTTAGTTAACTTTATTCCAAAAAAATTGCTTCAGCCTAACGTTTCGGATGCTTTGCAACAGCCGTAGTCACTCGGGGACTGAAGATGGAGGGTATCCCAAATGTCAAAGTCAAATCTGCTACGCTAACAATATCTGTTTCCTCGTACTTGGTATTAAGAACAGATGTGGGAAATGAATAATTAAAGCCTGAAACGCGTTTTATTTAAATGTGTACTACTCGCGTAAACTACGGGCAATGTTTAATTAAATATTTTCCCGCCATCTCATTAAAATCACTTATCGAACACGCAACGCCGCGATCATAAATCAAATTCATCGATAATCTAGCCAGCACTAATGCACGCGAAACTGCAGTTTGTATCGATACACGATAAGATCGATGGGCGAAACTATTTTAAACCTCTCGAAAATAACACCTAGCTTAACCCCCTCGCTCCGAGGGTAGGCTATAAAAATGATTTATTAGAAGTGTCCATTGCTTCTTGTTAGGAAGGGTCGAAAACAATTTACGAGGTATAAAGGGATAGGGTAATTATTTCAAACGATACGATGAGAATTTTCCTATTTTGTATATTTTGTGGGCTTCCCTTAATAGATGTTCTGTGGTAAGCGAGAATTTATCGTGTTATACTTGAAAATAATTCCATTACATTTTAGGGTAGTTGGTCTTTCATAAACATTAACAGATACCTGTTTAGGATCATAAGGAAATATGTATGTAACTTTATCGACGATGATGAATGGAAGATCAATTATTATTTAAGATGTCAGTTTGGCGTCATTGTTACTCAAGTTAGAAATTAAATAACGAATGAATTTGTGTTATATATAAACTTTATATAATGTTGTGTGATTTAAATTAAATAAATAAATAAAACTTAGAGAACCGAGAATCATTTGTGATGCTATTAGGAAAGTTTGGCCCTAATATGTTCAGGTCGTCGTAATTTTAGGGGCAGTAAAAGACTTTAAATCGTTTCATTTATAATTGTATATGCATGCAAATTTAAATATCACACGCGTTTAACAGTTAATTTATTTAAAACGCGTTTTAAACCGTTTAGTGTTTTATTTAAATGTAAGTTACAAACTAAAATTAATAACAAACCTTATAAAACAACAGTGGTCTCATGGTTCTGGCCAGACTGAAATCGGGTCTTCGTCGCAATTTAAACAAAGTTATAATAATTTAACAATCATGATATAATTTCATAATTAATATAA